AGTATATACGTTTCTCTTACCTTCTCTATCTTTTTCATTTTAGGGAACATTGCAAGGTCAACAAAGAGTTAGGATATCATTCACCGCAGGCGAGAAGTTCATCATTATTTTTGGATTGGATTTCAAATTTTATATTATTTTATGAATTATGGTTATTAAAATTTAAGCAAACATTTGGTAACAAAATTGCATCCAAATCTGCAGGGGGTTGCAATATATGTTGCCATATGCTTGGCATTTGCATATTTATACTCCAGCGTGCTCAATATATACTGTAAGTTCATTCATTCTCATTGGAGTCTGATTTTAATATTCCTTTTTATATTATTAAAATTGATAATGACGTTGATATTCTGGTGATCCATCCTGATTGTACGTTATGATTAAATTGATATATTTTTTCCTGGTGGAATTTATAAATTGATTTAAACAATTGGATTTTGAATGCAGGACTTGTTGTCTTCTTAGGCCCATTTACAAAGCCCTGAAGAATCCTATCCATCATGGAGTTGTTGTCTTCTTAGGCATAGTTGTCAGAAGCCTATGTTATCCATTTTTTAAAAAAAAATCAATACTAAGTTATCTTACATGCAATTATGTTTTTGTATTTTTATATTGTTTCGGAAGATTAAATCCATGAATCTTTGTGTAATTTCATGAGCTAGATTCATAAATTATTATGTTGCAAAATCTATAAATTTATTGGCCCCTTCACCTTCTGTGACCAAACATTTGTATATTAAGTGTTCAATATCAAAATAAATAAATAAATAAAACCCTCATACTGTAAATTAAAAACCAATGAACTGTCAGTCTAGAAACAAACTATTAAATATAAATAATACAAAAGCTGCGACTTCATCTATAGAATGAGTGGATGACAAATCAATGCTCCATCGTAATAGCAAAGCAATGAAATTGCGTCTTTTTATGGAAAATTAACAAGTGCATTGTCATTAAAAAGTTAGGAAAATCGCAAAAAAAAAATCCTAAAAATTATATACAGGAACCAATTTATAAAATTTGTTATCATTTGTTTATATTATTTTCAAAACCAATACTGATGTTATAATAGGTTTTATTTGTAATATTTTTATTTCTAAGATTGTTTTTTTTTTTTGCAATTTTTTCTTGAAATTTTCTTGATATCTTAAAAAATTTGGCAAACAAACAAATATGATGATTAATTTGTACAATCAATGTTAAAAGACTAACAATTAAGGCCTTGTTTAGAATCATGATTATAAGAAGATTTTATGTATATTGAGATAAAATTTTTCTCACATAGTTATTTCAGACCTATTTGGCAGTGTTCAAAAACATTTATAAATATATTTCATATAAGTTGAAATAAGACATTTTTATATATTTATTTTGTATTCTGTATATTAACTGAAAAGCTATTTATGAATTATTTCAAAAAATCCTAAATTGGGGAGGAGATAGAAGGATCAGATAGTCAACTCTGATAATAAATTACGAGTAGTTTACTAGAATGCGTCTACTCGGCCACCTACTTAATTAAGATTTAACTTTCAAAGTGGGGGAGATGTCCTTATCCAAGCACTGATTATTGACGATGACATCATACATACTTACTCTAGTTGTCTATACTGGGCATCTATCGCAAGGGGTAAAGGAAAATCGTGGCCCTCAGTATACGCCAGTTCTCGTGGACGATCGTTTTGTGTAGTATTTAATGAGTTATTCCAAAACTACCCTTTCAACCATATTCTCCCGTAATATTATTTTCAGTTATAATTATAAGATTTTGTTTTTAAACTATAAGTGAGATCTTATAATTAGGATCAAAGGTAGTATGAAAATATTTGATCAATGGGGAAGTGATTCAATTTTAATATTATCTCTAATCCTAATTATAAAATATCATTTATAATTTACAAATGAGATCTTATAATTAAAATAAGAAATAGTGTATAACTTTAACTACCTTGTGTTAGTTATGATAAATTAGTTAAACGTGATTTATGTACAACTATAAATGAAAGGCGATTCACATGCATCCCTAATCACACACCCACTTCACTTTACTACCTTCTTCTTCTTTTTTTTTCACTAGCACTTCACTTTACTCCCTTCGACCATAGTATCCAAAGCTTTCTTTATAAGAATCATTTCTACACATGTTAATCTAAATAAATAAGCCTTCAGGTAACTGAAACGCAGCTTCATACATAAGACCTGTTTAGAATACTTTATAAGAAGTTTATAAACTGTTTTTTAATAGTAACTTATAGGATACGAGACAAATATATAAGAAAAATTTTATTTCAATTTATATAAAATATATTTATAGAAAATTTTCACCATTTTACCGAATAGGGCTATAATGGACCCCATCGTCTCCCTGCGAAGGAGTAGTGGCAGTTTAAACAATAATAATCAGTCACATCTCTCCAGCTGTCAGCATGTGAACACTTGCGCGACACACACGCACACACATATTCAACTTTACTTGCATTTTTCCCTAAATCACATCTATATTTATTTATGTACTAACTCCGGTATAGGGCCTTGTTCTTAGGACCGGAGGTAATAGTGATCCATAACAAATGACATGGTTCACACTTCACAGGCCACAACTTTATATATGTAAAACACAGATATATACGTAAAAATATAGAAATTAATTTTACTACAGTGGTTTAGGTTACCTGATCCTTGCTCGTGCTTCTACTGGACAAAATGATACTATATAATACTGTTCCGGTCTTATATATAAAACCCATTTTGTAGTGTAAATTGCACAACAAAACGAGTCTTGATTGGAGGGAGTATTATATAATGCGTACTCGTTTAATGAGGTACCTATATTTAATACTTAACAGTATCTTGAATATGATTGTTTTTATTTGGAAGATGTTTATATGTAATAAAAAAACAAAAAAAAATGATATTTGAGAAATAAAGCTGACATGAATAAAATAAATATATAAAGAAATACCATAATTTTTTTGGTTACATGAAGAGCGGGATCGAACCCGCATATTACCATAATTAGCATAACTTTCCGAGGACAAGGTCATTAGTGAGGGTGGGCCATGATCCATACAAAAGTCCAAAGTGGACCAAGCGGGTTGGTTAGGGATGATGTGAACTCGTGACAAGCGAGAGGGACCATTAATTACTGAACTGACTGTCATTTCTTGACAATGTGCAGGCCCGACCCACGACGTGATTGCGATATCACATAATATTCCCCTTCCGTTTGGGGAAAAAAAAAAAATCCACTTCCTCGTGCATCCTTCTATGCGTATTCCTCATCTCATCTAATTTATATTTTAAAAAAATATCAGAAAGAGGTTATATTCTTCATAATAGTGTAATTTCTGATAGATTTTATCATATTAATATTGATATTTAAATGTTTTTTATGTAACCATCTGATTAAGTCAGATTCAAATATTATTGAGCCAAACTGATGATATTTAAATATATTAATCAGCAGTGATGATTACTACTTCAAATAAATCAAAATCACTCTGGCAAAAAAAAAAATCAAAATTAACCTGGTACTCTTGCAATTTTAAATTCCCATTCAATTGTGTTGTTACGTTTGTTTTCTTCGCCAACAAAATATGTTCTTATGTACCAACAAATTATACCGCTTAAAGTCAATTTAATCAAGTAATTTCTCTATAAAAGGTGCTCCTTCTGAATTTCTTTTATAAGAAATAAATGAAAGCATATTTTTAGCTCTGAATATAAGAAAAAAGTAAAAAAAAAAAAAGACTGGACTCTTGTGAAAAAATATAAGAAACAAATTTATATGTATTCTTGAGGAATGTAAAAACATTTGTTATTTGATTGCCAACTCCTGTTCCTATACACTAATCCAATTTAGTTGGGAGAGGCGCGGGCCTTCATATTCTAAGGAAGACTGGCCGTTGCTGTTGGTGTACGATATTCTTTGCCATTAAAGAAACGAGAGTCTGATCAATTTTCATGATTTTTAAAAAATTATCAAAAGAATTTATAAATAATAGATGTTTCACTTAAAAATACTCTCTTCAGTCCTATATATAAGCTTCAAATAATCTAATCACGTTTAACATACTAATAGTTAAAATTAGTTTAAAATAATAAATAGATTGAATTTTTTTTTTTAAATTTGTTCTTATTTATTCAGAGAGTAAATGAGAGACAATAAATAAAAGGGAAAACCATATTGGAGGTACCTATACTTTCTCTCAATTTTTAATTTGGTACCTATGTGTTTTTTCCCTTTAATTAAACATTTAATTTTATTTTTTTAGCAACATTAGCTCTTATAATTTTGTTCTATTGATATTTGTAGTCTTTACATAAGGATTAATGATGTTAATAGAGGAAAAATAAAGATTTAGTTAAGAACAAAAAACACATAGGTACCAAATTGAAAATTGAAAAAAAGTATAGGTACCTCCAATATGGTTTTCCCTAAATAAAAAATGATGAAAGAAAATATATGTGTATAACATTAAGAAGAGAGAGTACTAAATACAATCAACTAAAGGCAAACTAGAAAAAAGAAAAAGTAATAAATACTTAGATAAACTCAAAAATAAAACTTATATTTTAAATCAGACTTATCTTTAAAAATGAAACTTATATATAAAACTGAAGGGAGTAATTTATTATAAATATATTTTTTTGAAAAAAGAAGGCATACGAAGTTTGTTTGGCTCTGCCCCTCTGGGTCCTTAGCGTGGCTTACACAAAACGATGCTGATTGGTTGGAACAGATTTGGGTGGCATTAATATTATCAATATATCAATATATCAATATAATTAATAATAAGAGTTCCATTTATTTTTAGGAAGATAAAGAAAAATAATAATAATAATTCAAAGCGCACGCGGACTGCATGCCCCTCGCATCTCGCGCTGCCCTCATAAACAAATCCGTTGCAGTTGAAAATAACCAGAAAATATTCCGAATTTCCAATTTCCAATCCTTCTTGTTGTGCTGCCAAATAGTACTGTACCCACTCGATCCCCTTCCAGGACATTACAACTCATGGTAAATTATTAACTAAGCATTTGGCTATTCGCAACATCGAATCAAATTTGTCCCTCGATTCTGTGCTTCAAGGTATTTCGTGCTTTAATTTCTCCGTTTCTCTATCACCAAGCTCACACGCCAAACTTCACTGTACTCCGTATCGGCCGATCATTGTCACCCACGAAGCTCCAGCAATAAGAAATCAAGATATTTCTCAGTCCCCTGTATTTTAAGTCAAATCCTGGGATTTGGATTTTGGATACTCTGCGAAAATGGGGAGTTTGGGCGCGATTTTGAGGCATCCCGATGACTTCTACCCGCTTGTGAAGCTCAAAATGGCGGCCAGGCACGCAGAGAAGCAGATCCCTCCCGAGCCACACTGGGCTTTCTGCTATAGCATGCTTCACAAGGTGTCTCGTAGTTTTGGTCTCGTCATTCAGCAGCTCGGAACCGACCTTCGCGACGCTGTAAGTTCCGTATCGCCTTTTATGGTGTGTTTTGAATTGTCTGAATGATTTTTTTTGTTTCTATGGTTCTGGCAAATCGTCAGTGAATGAAAAACAGAATGAGGATGGACTACTTCTTCTGTGAATCTTAATAGGTGAAGTTGAATTTGTTTTTTGGCTGCATATGTAGGCGCTGGATCCTTTTTCGGTCTCAGCGCATATGGTTAAGGCAGATTTGCAGCCTTTGGCATTGGCATTTATTAATACAAGTTTAGGTTGACTTGATGCTTGACCTAGAAAGGAATTCCTTGGATACTCCTCGAGTTCTTATTTTATATCATCAATTAACTCTACAATATTTCTTCTCTCTATATCACTAACGAATGGTTCTGAGTCTTGGTAGAAAACCTTCAACTGAAAACTACCAAATTCAGAAAGACCTGGCTAAGATTTGGGACTATTTGAAAAATGATCAACGACGGGACTGGATGAAAGTATTCTTGCTAGAGTTGACCCTTTTATAGCGTTTTTCATTTTACAAGTTGCTGATATTAGTGCTTTCCTTTGTTGAGAGGATTACTTTTGTTTTCTACCGAGCCCTTTCTCCTATTGATATTTTCCTGAAATGAATTGTTTATAACTCCAAAATCTCTGGCTTTGCAGGTTTGCATATTTTATTTGGTCCTTCGAGCCCTTGATACCGTTGGTTTGTTTCTACAGTCTTCAACCTTGAACTGTTCGTTATTGCTTCAACTTCTAATTTTGTCCTATATAATAAACTCGCATTATAGAAGCCAAAATTTGTTTATTGCTTGTCAAATATCCAGGTTTGTGGTTTCTAATGGTTCTACTAGATATCAGGATATGTTTACTTGACAAACTGGTTGGTCTACGATCTATTATTCCTTTTTTTGTCAACTATATTTTGGTTAATTAACTGAGGTAAATAGAGACTATCGTTAGATGCTTTGAAACTTTCTGGCTTATGGCATCACAAATTATCTTTTCGAGGGCAATAAAGAACTCAAATCATAAATATGCAAACAATTTTCAAATTACTCATGCACATTTTGATAAGATACCATATGAAATTATTATTATTTTTATTTTGCCTTGCATATAAGGAAAGTATGTCTATCCGAACATCTGAGGAAGTATAAATCTGCTACTAATTAGTGTTAGTCTATTTAGCATTTTGCTTATGGATGAATATACATGTGAATCACAATTTCTTTTTTTCCAATTTTGTTTGCCTAAGTAGAAAGCAGATGATTTGTTTGCCTAAGTAGGAATTAGATGAAGAAAATAAATGGTTTTCATTGCAAAAATAAAGTAAAGAGAAAACAAATGATGTCAAGTGTCTAATTTGAACCACACCTACCTAATATGGGAAACTTGTACTGAGACTGTTAGAAGAATTCAGATTGGCAATTTCTTTCCTCTTCCTTCTTACCTATCAACATTGCACCGTTCAATGTTTAAAACTGTGTTTTCACTAATCATATTTTTGCAACCCTTTTCTCTTGGCAGAGGACGATACTAGCATATCTACAGATGTTAAGGTGCCAATATTAATAGCTTTTCATCATCACATATATGATCGTGATTGGCATTTTTCTTGTAAGTGTCTTGCTTTCACCTTTACTATTTCTTTTCATGTTGAGTTAGATGTCATCTGGCATGCCGTTTGTGCCCCCTTGCTGGAATTTTCCTATACTATACTTGTTCAACTTGACCACGCCAAACTTGTCCTGTTGAAATCTGGTTGAGAAGTTTAAATGGATTTTTTGACTCTTTCAATAGCACACATACCTCAAACCTTGTCTGGTGGTTTTCATGCTGACTCTAGTCTGTCTTTATGTAACTAGGTGGGACAAAGGAGTACAAAATCTTAATGGACCAGTTTCATCATGTTTCAACTGCATTTCTGGAACTTGGAAAGAAGTCAGTTTTTATCCTTGCATATTTCCTTCTATAGTAATTTTGTTAAGAAATTATTATAAAAGTTATTTATGGCCCTTTGCTTGTTCATAGTTCTACTTTTTAAGCTGAACCGGCCCTTGACAAGATACCAAAGCACCTCTAAGATCAAATAGTCAAAAGCTGAATCCCATCTTTCTCCAATTCTCTTAATTAAGATTCACTTGCAACCCCAAGGCATGGTTGGTTTGTGTTCTGTCCACATTTCAAGCTTTAAATGCTTGTGCGTGAGGGGGTGTGCTAGATATTATAACAAAATTTGTTCATGGCCCTTGGTAATTTCCATCCTTGATTTAATCAATATCATGCCCGCAGGCCTTATTTCCTATTTAATGCCTACTATTGTTTTATTGCCATGAGCATGCATTCAAATGCATGTTGCCTATTTCATGGATGAGTGAACTCATGAATCAACAACATATTTGATATTCTGTTCTTACCTTTCTGTTAATTTTTTCCCCTTGAGCACTAAGTTTACTTTAATTCTTTTTCCCCTCAGACATTGAGTTTACACTATACAGCAGAGCAGTCAGATTTTAAGTTTGGCCCTTTGAGTCGTTTGTCCATGTGAACTATCATTATTTACCAACCATATTATAGATATTTTTCATTTGTTTTCTTCTACCTAAGAATTCTCCGCTTTTCCAATGAGTTTGTCTCTGAATTGGCCAGGTGGTCAACAACAAAATTGTTGGTTTTGACTCTATGTTTGCAAAATTCTCTCATTTGTTATCCTGTTCTGTTTCTTAAAAAATATTTCATGAGTCAGCTGGGGTTCCTGAGAATTTACTGTCAATGCAGTGCCTGCATTAACTGCGCTTATGCATATGTGTGTCATGAGATAGAATTGTCGGTGTGCATTCTTTTGATAAATGACTAAACAATGAGAAATTACCTCTGCAGCTATCAGGAAGCAATTGAGGATATTACCAAAAGGATGGGAGCTGGAATGGCCAAATTCATTTGCAAAGAGGTTCACTATGCATCTCTTCTGTTCATCTTAGATTCTAGATATTTCATAAATATGCTAGATTAGTTCCACTTGATTAAGTCATCTCTTTGACTGGTATGATATTATATTCATTTTGCATTTTTGCTATCTCCTTAAACCTGGCTGGAAGTATAAATATTAGTTAGTTTTAAATTTAGAGGAGATAACTTTTTTCCAAAATTTTTTGAGTTATCCCATCCCTCAACTCCCGTTCATAATTATAAGGAACTTTAAGTAATTACAACCTAATTCCAACATTTTGATTAATTAATACATTATTAAATTTAGTGTTTAGCTCTTCATACCCATGAACAAAGACCATATGGCCAAATTATGAGTGTTGATCCCCCTTCTGATTATTTTATACTTTTTCAAAATATTTGTTTCTAAGGTGACGGACGTATGGCTATCTAGTAGTTTCTACGTTTTGCTGCTAGTTTTTTTTGACCTTCAAACTTTCATATCAGGATTCAAGAGTTAGACCTCAATGAATGTCTAATAAAGAGAGTAAGGTAGCACCACATTTTGATATTTTCATGATAATTGCGTTATACTACTATTAGTGCATCTGTCATGTCTCTCGTGAGTTCAAACCCAGAAGCATTATTCGAAACAAAATTTCCCTTCAGTCTAGATAGATGGTCTTGATTTACACCATGGGATTTCTCTCTACTTACAGGTGGAAACAGTCGACGACTATGATGAATATTGTCATTATGTAGCAGGACTTGTTGGGATGGGTTTATCCAAGCTTTTCCATGCCTCCGGTTTGGAAGATTTGGCTCCAGAATACCTCTCTAATTCAATGGGTTTGTTCCTTCAGGTAGCATAAAGTGGAATGCAGACAAGCAATATTTTTACTGTTCTTTGCATGCTTTTCAATTGAGAACCTTCTGAAATTGCAGAAAACAAACATTATCCGAGATTACCTAGAAGATATCAATGAGATCCCAAAGTCACGCATGTTTTGGCCTCGGCAGATCTGGAGTAAATATGTTTTCAAACTTGAGGTTTGCATCTTTAAGAATTTTTTCTTACTCACCTTTCATTATCTATCTTTCACTCCATGATTCTTGGCTGAATTTGTATGAGTTGATGGATGTTATGATGGCAGAAACAACTCCGCTGTCTCATTTTACTTGTATGCATATCATGTTTTTTTCCCCCTTCTAAGTTGCACGTGTATAACTTTGTCTTTATCCAATTTAATTTTGTGGTCCAGGACTTGAAAGAAGAAGACAATTCTGTCAAGGCATTGCAATGCCTCAACGACATGGTCACCAATGCATTGACGCATGTTGAAGATTGCTTACTGTACATGTCTAACTTAAGAGACTTAGCTATATTTCGTTTTTGTGCTATTCCGCAGGTACTGTTCTTTTCCTCAACGGCCTCTAGTTTAATTCTTAATTTTCACTGTCATCATTGATACAATGGTCATTTATTAATCATAAGCTAGGTTTTTGCTTCAATAGATGTTATGCTTATATGTCATCCTGTTCTGTTGCCAAGTCCTGTGAGTAATGGCCTCATACTCAATGTCAAGTAAAATAATTTAAATTTTTGCAACAGTCGATGAGTTTCTTTAAAGTTTTGATTTTGCCGAAAAGATCTGATGATTCTAATACATACTTTACATGCTTTGGGTGTTTTTGCTACATGTCGTGATCAATGATATTTTGGTAAAAAAATCTCTATATGGCTCGATTAACTTGGTAAAATGGCAGATATTGAATGCCCATTGGTGAATTAAAAAATTTAATAGTATCCAAAATAAGATTTGATGTTCTTCCTGGTTGCTGTGATATAGAAACTAAAGACGCTAAGCTTCTCAGGTTCAGGTCTTGGATCCTGGACTCCTGTTTTCAATTAAATGAAGTCTTAGGTCTTAATCTCTTCAGGCTTTGCTAAGTTTCAGTTCATTTCCCTGTTGGCTTCTACTTCTATAATCTCCCCTGTTGTTTTTATTCACTATATCTTCCAAAATCCATGTCTGTAGCTGTAGTTATTTTTAAACTAATATTTGATTGGTGTAACTTGGCTGCTTGACATGTTCTGCAACAGATCATGGCCATTGGGACTCTTGCATTATGCTACAACAACATTGAAGTCTTCAGAGGTGTAGTTAAAATGAGGCGTGGTAAGATGATGTATCTTGAGATACTAAGTGCAAAGCATCTAAGCTTTAAGGAATGTTAGGCACAGAACTACTTTTAATGGAAATGTGTGTGGAAGTCACATGAATTTTGAATTGCTGCGTGCAGCATTCAATACTAGCTCATTTGGCAAAAAGTAACTTGGCAAAAATTTTCTAACGGGAAATTAGATATATTGTGCTAAACAATAGGATCATATATTGAGCAAACTCAATGTCGTTAAACATGCTGCATTGGTGCTATTGGATTTTCTGGTTACAACTAATAGCGCACACATGTTGCTTCGTCCTCTAGTAGAAGTTGTTATGGTAATTAACGAGTGGTTTGGATGTGGCTTGTGATGGTTTCTAATTTGTCACTTCGTAAACACTGCTATAATCAAGATTTTTATTGGTTTCCACCTGTTTCTTGAGAGAAGATGTATAAGGCTACATATATAATGTGATAATGGTGTACTAAGTTGATAAAGCACTGTAGTGCCAGACAATCTATTTAGCTGACCTCACTTAATGGGATGTGGCTTGTTATTGTTTGTTTTCTTGTTTGTTGGATGTACTAAGTTGTTCTCATTATTATGTTTGTGATTTATAGGTCTAACTGCCAAGGTGATTGATCGGACAAAGACAATGTCAGATGTCTATGGTGCTTTCTTTGACTTTTCTTGTATGTTAGAGTCCAAGGTATGCTGTATTTTAAAGTATGGTTACTCTTGCAAGTTTTACATAATTTGCTTATATTACTATTGTTTCACAGTTGGTAATGCTATCATTTATGTTAATAAAACACACATGAATATTGCGAAAATAAGATTTTGGGAATAAGAGTTGCTGATGCTGAGAAAGCCTTCTATACCCAGTGTCATTGAAATAATACACGTGTTAGTCCTCATTAGCCATGACAACCAATAAGCCATGGCTATTTTGAAAGGTAAAACGGAAAAAAATGAGAAATTGATCTTTAAATTTTAGTCTTTGATACTACCTCTGGTCCTAAATATAAGAGCTAATTGGCGATCCTAAAATATAAGACCTCAATTCATTTTATCTTTCAAATTTATAATGTGTTCTAAAAAATATCCCTATTGATTATAAGGTATTTTCACTTAGGTGTAGTTTCAATGTAAATGATTGAATAACGGTAATTTAAGAAAGTCAACACACATTTGTTACAAATAACTAACTTTCTTAATCTCTCCAAATTAGTTATCTAGCTTTTATATTAAAGACTAGAGCTAGTATTTTAGAAGACGAGTGAAAACTTAAATGCTGTGAATAGGCTTTGGTTTGATTGTAGAGTCTTTCTGGTAGGATCCAATATAGGTAAGAAAGGAAGAAAGAAAGAAGAAAACTTTTTTATTAAAAAAAGGAAATCAGAATGTAACTTCTCAAATTAATTAAGATGGAGGAAAATCTTTAGTTGAAGACGAGCAAAGATCTTAAACTCATACAACTAATAAAACCTAATGAGAATCTCCACTAATAAAAACAAAACATTGATTTCTACATGCCCCTTCTTTCCATAGCCACTTACAGAAAGGAAGAGTTGAGTACCGGAAAGTTTGAAATGCAGATATTAGATAGTATTGTGGTCGTCTTTATTCTGTAGCACAATCCTCCATGGCACTAAATCTATTTTTTAAGTTATTAAAGCTTTTCTTTCCAACTTAAAAAATCTATTATTTTTCTCTCATAGGTTGACAAGAATGATCCCAATGCAAGAAAAACATTGAGCAGGGTAGAAGCTATACAAAAGGCTTGCAGAGAATCTGGTCTCCTAAGTAAAAGGCATGCAGATCATATCCATGTAGCTTCTGAGGTATGTTTCAGTTTCGCCAGTGATATTCTGACAGGTTTTGCATTTATTTCACCAGGAAATCTTATATTGTGAAGAACGAGCCTGGATATAACTCAGCCACGGTAAATTTGTCTGCTTGTTTTTTTTTTTTTGGGTAGAACTTGATGCTACATATGTAAATTATGTACTGATTTTTGAGTTTTTCTGCAGTTTCTGATACTCATTCTCGCACTGGCTCTCATTTTCGCATATCTCTCCGCCAACCGTGATAACTGATGTAAGTTAGGGTAAATTATATCTAAGGCCCAAGATTTGGCTCCGCATAAGTTGTCACTCTGGTTTCAAATGTTCCATTCAACCCCTTAATTAGTTTCTTCGGTTATTAGTATGTTATTTTCATTCCCAGTGGTAGTATGGAATAAATGATTTCATAAATATTAAAATGTTTTATTAATGAAAGTGTATTTTACTTGTATCTCAAATGGTCGTTTTTTGATAATGCAAATGAAAAATTGTTCTAATATTTTTCGTAACTAATTAAAATTTAAACGTAAAAACGAAACATCGTGGGGGATTAAGTGATTTGGCAATAAACTGCAGGTACGGAATAAAACCAGGGGAGAACAGTAATTTGTCTTGTCCAATTCCTCTAATTTTTGTGTTTTTGCCCCTTCCAGCTAGCGTGAGATAGCAATGTTACAGTGCTGGGTTGATTTATTATCCATAATGTGGATGTTCAAGATCATAAGGAGGATGGCTGGTGTTGGTTGTGCTATATTTTGTGCGGAAGAGGTGACGTGTCCAGGAAGTCAGATGTGGTTACTGTGTCAGGGTGTAGCTTCCTGCGTTGTATTTTTGCTTTACCCTACTGCCACCCATAGAATTGTCGTTTACATGGCGCACTGTTATTGGCTGTTACACACAATAACAGTAATCAAGTTGCCACCGGTGAACCTTTATTGTGGAAATGACTGTTAATTTGTGGTTGGGTACTTGGCCATAAAGCCATCAAAAGATTTGGGATTATAAGAAGCCATGATGTTAAGAAGTAGAAAGGATTTTCTTTCTGCTTATATGAAAATATGTTGGTGTTCATTATATCTTTATTATCATTATATCTCCATGAAAATATGTTGATATTCATTATATCTATTATTTTTTAGTAACTTTACAGAGTTTATGGAATAGCAGTAGAAAAAACTCCGCAATTTTTGTACCTGCTCTGGAATCTGATTGTTAAAAGAAAAACTTTCAATTTGCATGAATTTCTTGGCTTGCTGTAAAGGCAAGCCTCTGGAAAATTCTCTTGGATACACGATTCGAAGAGGGAAAAATTCTATACAACGGAATAACTACAAATAAAAGAGCAAATGAATTCCATAGAAACTGCTGATGAGAAAAAAGTCGGCATCTACATAACAAATCAATGCGTTCTACGCTAAAATGACCCTTTTACCCACGGCCCGAAAAACACACTCAAAATTTACGGGGCAAGAAGCCAACCCAATAACAGAAGTTAGAATAGTACAGCCACCTTGCTTGCAAGAACCCTTTCCCTTCTCTCAATGTAACCAAAAGGAAACCAACCTGCTTTACCTTTGCACTCACCCTCAGCCCACCCATTGCTTGTTACCTGCTGATACCAAAATAAGCATATTACGACCAATTTGAAATGCAGAAGGATTGTCAGGTAAAGTGATCTGTTTCTACCCGAGAAAAGGTTCATTAATGTTTTAGAGGGTCTGATCAATTTTTTCACCCAGACTCAGCAACTCCCAGATTTTATCCAAATCTACAATCTCTCCATATTAGTGTGAGGGCCCTCTTCCCAGCACATTTAGAATTGTAGCCCCCGAGTCCTCCCCAGAAAACTACACCAAGCAGTTATTTAATAAGAGATACCAACCCTTAAGAGAACCCTGACGGATCCCCAAAATTCTAAGGTTGGGTAACACCAAAACATTTCAGGACAGATACACTCTTGCTCTTTTTGGAATAAAAAAAAAAAAAAGCTACAAAAAGATACTAACCTTCCGAACAACAACATAATCACCAACTGACAGATTTAACTCCACATCAGACACAGCATTGTATGGAAACATAGCCTGCAAGAGGAAAAAAACACACAACAGAAAGAAAAACCAGTCACCTTTGCGAATCAGTAATATACGCACCAGATGTAATCTCCTACTAACCTCTCCTAAGAAGTAACCCATGCTATCTGTTGATCCATCGGGTGTTTGAGGAGCATAGACACCATTTGCTTCTTCATATGATGAGGGTGGAGGCATGCTGTCTTCCGTGCTAGGAGCAGAAGGGGCTTCAATACGCTGCCGTTCTGATATCATCTATCATTAAATATACATATAACAGATAATCATGTGTTGATACCAAAAGAAATTGTGGCCCAACTGTTTGATTGCAAGTTTAACTTTGCTAGGGAGAACAGAATGATAAAAAAGCCAAGAGTTGTGATTACTTACCTCTCCCTCAAGCTGATCAAGTATTTGGAGGACTCTGTGGTGATAGGCACGCTCTGCTTCAACCTTGATGATAAGAAATAAAATGCTGGATTTAGTTGTGATTTATTCTTTTACTTCGGATGAAAAATTCATTAACAATGAATACATCTCCATCAGATGGTACCACTATAATACCATAGCTATAAGCGCTGAAGGGTCAGTCTCTGTTGCTGTGCTTCAACAGCAGCCATTGCGGCAGCTGCTTCCTTCCCCAGTATGGCCACGTTTGACTTCAGATCTTGAAGTTTTGCTTCAGCTGCTTCCAATTTCATGGTATTCTCAGCATTGCCTGGAGTTTCTCTCACTTTAGCCTGACGTTTGGAAACTTCAATTGCCTGCCAAGATTCAAAGGATAGTGTAATTACATGTCCAAAGAGAAGAAGAAAAAAACTAAATGAACAATTATTTTTGACCTAACCAGTATATAAAACCGTGAATTCTACATGTCCTTAAGCACCGGAGAAGTTAAAAGATATTTTTTCAATGCAAATTCAAATTCCTGGATACCTGGGCTTCAGCTTCCTGTCGCATTCTGTCATAACGTTGAGCAAGATGCCGAGCATCCTCCAATGGAGCTCCCACCACCATTGCTCTAAGGGGCTCTGCAACCTAATCATGGAGCAAGATGTTGATCACTGAATTATTAGGCCTAACATATAAGATGACAAACTGCATATATTAACAACACAAGCGAGCACATGAATACCTAAGAAAGTCAAACTTCTCTGGGTATAAAGAAGAATTGGATCAAGGGTGCAAGTAGTCTCCATATTCTTTTCCATTTGATAATGTTTAAAAATCTTTAAAGCCACAATCGTATACTGCTTTTCTGGAGGTGGCATTATTTATGAAAGGTCAAATTTTAAACCCTATAACACCAATGACAGGGTCAAAGGAATATATAATAGTTCCTGGTTTGTAGTTTCTTAGCAGAATAGGAAAATACAATATTACATATACGACAAACCACGAGTAAGACTGAGGTCTTCATTACAGACAGGATAAAGGGGGCCATGTAAACAAATGACCAGAAACTCCATTTCAAGGACTGACTATCACAGTGCTTCCAAAAGCATCAGTAGTTTACATGAAAAGAAAGACTCCGTTGTTCCAATCAAGACAATAGATTGTCAAACCTGAGTGCCAAGTGCTTTCAGTAGGTTCCTGTGCTCCTTTTCCATTTGAGCACGAGCACGTGCATAACTTAGTGCAGCTTTTGATAATGTGTTACCACTGGTACATGTATTTTCTGAGCCATATTTCCTGCTATCCTCTGACAACTTTGTTCCTGTGAAATAAGATGTGAATAAACTATATAAAACAATGCTAGGTAATGTAGATCCAATTGCATGAAAACTTCATAAAAAGCTTCACCAAGCAACAATATTTACCTATTTCAACTTGTTTAGATCCAGTAACAATATAACCTTCTACACCACGGACAATATCCCTTTGATAATGCTGAAGAATAAAAAGAAACTATCATTAGTCAAGGAAGTAAAAAGGAAACTGAGATGGAAAATGAAGAATATATAAAATCAGAATATGAGGACCATGTAACCTTTCTTGCACGTGTTGATATGTAAAGCTTTTCAAGTTTCTGATGTTGCTGAAGCTCCATCCCATCATTGACCACACTATCTGAACCTCCATATGCCCCAGCCCCAGCCCCAAACTGTTTCAGAACAGCCTATAAAATAATAATAGTGATTAACACCTTCATAAATAAAGCACACAAAAATGTTGAACATATTAAGAAGGAAAATAGAAAAGTTAAGAAAGGAACATGGTCATCATAACAACGATAGACGTATGCAAGGGTCCATAATTTTCCGACACATGGTTATGCCAATCAACATAATGAGAAAAAGGCAGCACATATGAAGAAGAAAATTGTCATAAAAATATATCAATGCCATCTGTTAAGTTAAATGTCTAGGTGTCTAATTCTAAAACAAGAGTGTAAACGTTTCCTTGTACTTCAAATTTAACACATGCTACCTAACCTAGTTTGTAGTGCAATTTGCACTATAAACTAGGTCTTGTATTTAGGACCAGAGGTAGTATTTCCTTACGTGGCCAATCAAAGAGCATATAAAGTCCAGCCAAACATAACATTAGGTTTGGTACTAAGGGGGTGTTTGGATGTAACCAAACTATAGTTTGGAGAATAGATTATGGATAAAATAGATTTTGTGAAAAAGTGATTCTGAGAAGTGAAAGTGTTTGGATAGTTGTTACCAGAAGCATTTTTTACATGTGTAAATTACTAAAAAGGGCATAAGTTAATATGATAATTATATAAAAGATAGATTTTATAATATATTTTAATTTGAAAGAATAAAATTGTTAACAAAATAATTTTTACTAACATAATTAATAATATATAAGATAATATAATTAATAAAATTAATAATATATAAAATATAATAATTAATAAATAATTAATATGTGTATATATTTATAAATTATGAGATTAAAAAAAATTTCTAAAAAATGAATAATTTTTACCAATAGAAAAATATTATTTTATTCTAAAAACAATAAGACACATATCCCATAAGTTCTTACATTCTTTCTTTTTCCTCCAAAAGCAGAAAATTTCTGCTTCTGCCAAAACCATGGTTTTGGTTTTTTCTATGGTGTTTGGGTAATTTTTTCCCAAACCATGGTTTGGGTAATCACCCAAACACCCCCCAAGCCGTGGTTCCCTTGAATATACAAAAAATGAGGAGTCAACTCATCAAACCTAGTGATGTTTGAATCACTTATTGATTCTAAAGATGACTTTACTCATGGTGGTTATCTTAATGCTTTCATGACAAAGTTTGAAAGTCAAGTTCCAGTACATCTCCTTAGCAGTACTCATGGATACGAACATTTTTCTAATATGATGTCTATCCAGGTGATATTAAGAAAGTATTTAATGTTTCTAACCTGTGTGTCCCTCCAAACTATGATAAGAAATTGATCACTGAAGATGAAGGGGATTGCTTGTTATTCCACAAGTTTGAGTTTGAAAACTAAGAAAGATGATGATAATACTGAGATAAAACGTTTTCCACATCCAGTTGACTTCTCATGGAAAAGTTTGTTAATATAATAATTGATGAGTGGAGAATCAGTTGCAACAAAAATTATGTAAGAAACTAACCTGCTTAGCAAGAGCAGTAGCAACCATATTAGAAGTAGCAATCGAGAGAAACATGAACACGTAACTCACGTAATCACAAACAACTGTAGCGGGGCCTGCTCATGGAAAATTAAGAGCAAGAATATTGTATATTTAGCTATCAAATGGTATATTAGCTAAATTAGTTATATCCCGTAATATAATTAGAACTAACATCACACAAATATGTCGAATTTATCATAAAGTGGCGGCACCAGGATTTAGTACCTAATGCAGCAAGTTCAATCGAGCTTCCTTGACCAATAACAGCTGTATCCATGAGACTCATTAGAGGTCCGCATATCCAAAGTCCCGTTGCCGGGCCAGTAAACTTGATTATTTCCTCCATCCGTGCCCATATACTCTGGTCGGCCAGTTCCTGCTTCTCAATCTTCTCCAGCATTTC